GTTGTCGCTGCTGTTGTTGTTGTTGTTGTTGTTGTTGCTGTTGTGGTCAGATTCTGTCGCTTTATGTAGCACAGTATGTTTACCCAAATCATGCCGCATATTCCCATATAGATAATACGAAATCGTGGCGCTATAAACATAAAATTCAAAGCTTGAGCCGGCAGCCAGAATATACAGGATCGGAAAAATGTAGGCACGAATTTTTCACGCAACTCCGCAAAGGGGTCCTCGGCGCCCTCCATCAGAGACATGCCTAGAATAAGAAACGGAAAAGAGAGAGGGATATGTATGTATGTAAACTCAACTATATTGCCATAAAAGCTCTGATTCCTACCCGTATAAAATATTGTCAGACAATAGGGTGTCAACACAAACTGGTCCAATAACAATTTTTTGATAATAGTTGATCTCAGTGTACCCGGAAATGTGCCATCTAGCCATTTGTACCTAAGATATACACATATAACACTAATTATTAAAACGCCAGCGAAACACAGAGGGAATATTATATACAGTGTGAAATGACAAGCAATTATGTTAATAGAGTGCTCTGTTTAAGTGTTACTTTGTACCATATACACATATACATATACATATACTGTATGTGCATATATATTCGTGAAGTTCGACGCTTTGTGTTTCATTTTGTTTGTAGTATGTCTGTGTATGTGTGTGTGGCTTTTATCCGACACTTACATATCTGGTGGATTAACGTGCACATATGCCTCGTTTGATGGTGCGTAGCGTGCTTGCTTGGAGCTTTATGCACAAAAGCTTTGCGCTCTTGCCGGTGCTGCTTAAGAGAGAAAGAATGAAAGAGTGATACCAAAAAGAACACAGAGAGAGCAACTGTGAGAGAGAGTGCATATGTGTGTGCGTTCTTCGACGTCCATACACGTGCTGGACGAAATGTAAATTGTAAACAAATTGATAAAAAGAATTGAAAGAAGCGACAAAACAAACTCATGCGACTTTTACCGTTACAAGAATGAATGAATATATAAGTATGCGTGTGTGTGTGTCAATTAAGATGCCTGGCACCCATACACATGTGTTAATATTATTATGCTATGCGAGTGTGYGAGTGTTTAGTTTTATACATATTTATTTATTTGTGGAGTGAGGGGCACGAACCAAGCGTATAGCGATGGGGCATAGAG